CCTAGGAAATAAAAAGCAGAACCCTGTGTCTAAATGGTGAAAGAGAAGAAGTTCACTTTTCTGATAGCAATTTCCTGAGTCAGATGACCTAAGATGCATGTGTCAATTCTCATGAGATTTCCTGAGATGGGAAAGGTGGTTGGCTTGACTCACAGCAGAGAGCTTCCAGAGCCGCTGGCCTGGGTTACCTGCACCACAGGAATGCGGTGGCCGTCGCTTTTTCCAGGTACGTGTTGTCGCAAGAATGTCATTCCCAATGTTGGAGTCCAGGTGGGTTCTTGGCTTTGCGCGAGAAAGAATTCAAGAGCCAGCCGATGGTATAAAGCAAAAGCAAGTTTCATTTAGGAGGTATAGAAGATCTACTCCATCGACAGAGTAGAGGCTAGTTCTCCTTGGTGAAACATACAACAACTTTGGGGCTTTTTTATTTTTATTTTTTTATTTAAGCACTGGCTTAATCATAGGCTGAGCAAGGGAGCAATATCATGTTATTTCTTGGAAAGGAGCGGTGACTTCCTAAAACTGGGAACCCTTCCCTTGTCTTACTACATAAGGTCCCTCATGGAAATGTGGGTGGGAGTTTCTTTTTTAGCATGCTAATATATTATGACTCGGGTGTAACGAGCCGCAAGGTGGAGCGGCAGCTAATTTCCTTGCCATCTTGGTTTGACCTGTCTCCACTCGTTCTGCCACCATGTCCTGGTTTTGATCAGGGTGGTCAGGGCTTTTGACTCTGTGTTAAGCAGGCCCTGCCGGCTCCCCATCTCAGTGTGACCACGACAACGACTGCACTTAACCTAGCCCCAGTCAGGAGCTGCTTGGTTCAACAGTTAGCTGTCTTCTCTTTCTCCTCTTTCTTCTGTTCTGCTTTGAACACTTTCTCCTTTTCCCTTTGCATTGTGGTTTCCTTCCTCACCAACCTATTCAAACTATGCTCTCCAATATCACCACAGTTTTCCTTTTGGTCCCATCCAATGAGTTGTTCATCATCTTCCTCATCATGAGATCTTTTTTTTTTTTAATTGATGTCCTCTCCTCTTTGAAAGTTTTTATGACCTAGCATTGCACTGACTTTCTTCCTGTTTCTCTTGCTATTCTTTCCTCCCCTTCCTTCTTCTTTTTCCTGTGCCAAGAAAACGAATGATAATGATGACATGGATGGCACTGGAGGCCATTATCTTAAAGTGAACAAGCCAGACACAGAAAGACAAAAACCTCATGTTCTCGCTTGCAAGGGGGAGTTAAGTAATGTGTACACACAGACATAGAGCGTGCAATGATAGAATATGGAGACTCGAAAAGGTGAGGGGGTTCGAGGGGGGTGGCTGACGAGAAATTACTTAATAGGTACAATGCAAGTTGTTTGGATGATGCCTGAAATCCCTGACTTTACCACTAGGCGACCTGTGCATATAACAAAACTACACTTGTGCCCCATAAATTCATGCACATAAAACAATAACAACCAATATTTTTGAGAACTCACTATGCACCTTACACGTATTAACCCATTTAATCCTCACAGTAGGCTTACAGGATGGACACTATTATTATCATCCCCATGTTACAGATGAGAACACAGGCACAGAGAGGTTATATTGTTTGTCCAGGGCCTCACAGCTAGTAAATGGCAGAGGCAGGATTCGAACCCAAGCCTTCTGGCTCCAGATCTTTGCTATAACACTTTTCCCACAGCATTCTGCCTAGGGTCTTCTGTTTTTCTACTCCCTCTCCCTTTAAGCAATCTCATGATTCCATGACTTCGATCATCACATCTGTACACATGGTTCCCCAACTCTGAAATCCCATCCCTCCTTCTGGCCCCAGATCAAGGAACAATGTCAACAACTGCAATATCAATCAAAGATTACATTTATTAAGCAGCTACTCTAGCCTGGAATCAGACCAAATTGCTTTACATTCATTATTGCACAATATCTCCACATTATAGATAAGAAATGGCATCACAGAGAGGTTATGAGAAATGCTCAAAGTCTCACAGCTATTTAGTTTTGGAGACAGGTGATAGACCATAAAATCTATCAAAATAGGCTAGGCATGGTGGCTCACACCTGTAATCCCAGAATTTTGGGAGGCCAAGGCAGGAGGATCACTTGAGGCCAGGAGTTCTAGACCAGCCTGGGCAACATAGCAAGACCCCATCTCCACAAAAAAAATTTTAAAATTTTACAGGCATGATGTCGTGTGCCTGTAGTCCTAGCTACTCAGGAGGCTGAAGTGGAAGGATCACTTGAGCCCAGGAATTGAAGGTTACAGTGAGCTATAATTGCACCACTGCATCCCAGCCTGAGCAACAGAGCAAGACCCTGTCTCTAAATAATAATAATAATATATGCTATACTTAAAAGCAAATGCCATGTCTCCCTCACCTTTGCAGTTCCTAGCACAGTACTTTCTATCTATGAGATAGTCACTATATATCTGTGGAATCAAATGTGACAGAAGCTTGCTTTTTGGCAACTGGAGGCAGAGTCCTGGACACTTCTGAGATGGAGTATTCATGAATTTCGGTTATCCATGAACTCTCCACCCACATCACTGGCTGGAACAGGAATGGGCAATGGAATGAGCATCATGTCAAGAATGAGAATAGGATTCTAGGATGAGTGTGTTGGCCTCACAGCTGTAATACTAGCACTCTAGGAGGCTGAGGCGGGAAGATGGCTTGAGGTCAGGAGTTTGAGAGCAGCCTGAACAAGAGCGAGGCCCCATCTCTACTAAAAAGAGATAAAATTAGCCAGGCATAGTTATGCACATCTGGAGTCCTAGCTACTTGGGAGGCTGAGGCAGGAGGATCGCTTGAGCTCAGGAGTTCGAGGCTGCAGTGAGCTATGATGATGCCCCAGAACTCCAGCCTGGGTGACAGAGTAAGACCTTATCTCAAAAAATAAAAATAAAAATAAATGAATATTCAGGAAGGGTCCATGAGCCAAGGCATGCAGGCAGCCTCTAGAAGCTGGACAAGAAGAGTAAACAGATTCTCCCATAGAACTTTCAAAAGGAACCAGCCATGCCAACATTCTTCATGTTAGCCTAGAAAGACTGATTCCAGACATCTGGTTTCCAGAACTGTAAGAGCAATAGATTGATGTTGCTTTAGCCACTAAGTTCATGGTAATTTGCAATAGCAGCAATTGGAAACTCGTACAGAGCGGTCCAAAAAGAGTTGATATTGCCCTCTCCGCCAGCCTTAAAGGCTCTCAGCTAGCCCCTAGGGCCTTTTCTCCGAAATCCTGCAACTGTTCTGCATTGCCCTAAATGACCAAGTAACATATCACCCTCTACTGGACTTTGAGACTCCAGTCTGATCTGGTGATGGCATCTTGTAGGGGGGAAAGCACTAGCACAATACCCATGCCAACCGACAGTGTCTGCAATCTGAACAGCACCTGCATGCATATGGGGCCCTGTGGGGTTTCTGAAAGAGAGGCTCTGTGTCCTGGTGGGTGAGCAGCTAGAACCCAGAGCCCAGGTTGCATCTCAGCTCTGCCACTGACTAGCTCTGGTGAATGGAGCAAGTTACTTAACCTCCTTGTGCCTGCATTTCTTACTCTGAAAAATGTGGCTGAGGCTACCAGTACCTACCTGCTGAAGTCATTGCAACGCTGAAGGGAGCTCATGTGCTAAAGTGCATAGCACCATGGCTGGCATGCACACATCCCCACAATTCAGCAGCTAAAATATTAATGCCTGGCACATCAGAAAGGGTCTGTGGAGTTTATTCTGACCAGCCAATTCATGCACCATATGAGTTTCTAAATACTTTTAATATCATCCTTGGAAATGGCAAATAATTCTAGAAATGAGTATTCCAGAAACACCCAGCTGAGTCTTTCCCAGATTCCTGACCCACAGAAATCATAAGAGAATGAAAATAAGGTAAGGAAAGAACAAGTGATCAGAGTGATGTAAGATTTATTAGGAAAGGAAGAGAGGAAAAGCCGTCTATCCATCCAGCATCTTCAGGTCTTTGCAGAAGCAGGAACATGGCTGGTGATTCCACCAGATGTTGGGAAATTCGGGGAAAGAGAAAAGAGTGCTTTACCAGCCACAGTAAAGACAGCCTGAGCAAAGTATTTTCCCAAAAGGTGGAAATAATGTCTTCCAAGATGTGTTTCTAGAATCTTGCCAGTCCCGCATAAGGAGGAAGAATTTGATTTTTCTCTACTCGAAGCTGAGTGGGCCTGTAACTTGCTTGTAAAAAAGAGAATATGATGGAAGTAGAGTTTCATGAGTTCCAGAGCTGGGTGTTAAGAGAAGATCCAACCTTGTTGGCTGGAACACTCATGCTTCGAGCTTAGAGGTGCCATGGAAGCAGCCAGCCTGAGGCTGCCATGTTGGAAGGAAGCCCAGACTCTCCCATTCCCTGAGACTATATGAAGGGACAGCAATGCCCAGTTAGTTCTCAGCTGCTCCAGCCACAGCCACTGTGTGGTTACAACCATATGAGACCCTGAGCTAGAACCACCCAGCTGAGCCCTTCCCAGATTCCTGACCCACAGAAACCAAGACAGATAACAAAATAAACATGTTGTTTTCAGCCACTACGTTTTTATGATGATTTGTTACGCAGCAGTAGCTAACCAATGTACAGCCCTTGGGGAATTTCCTGGTATCTTTCCTTGATTGTTTCATGTCTCTGCCTTCTGCTTCCCTTCTGTTCCAGGACTCTGCTTTCTGCTGAGCTTGTCTGGAGCTGTGGATCAGAAGCCCAAAGGTGAGTGCTCAGAGCCAGAACAGAGAGAGTGTGGCCCAAGGTGGCCCAAGGCTGGACCAGCCGCCACCCACGTTCTCCAACAGGCTAAAGAAAAGTGTTTATTTTGGGGGCGATACTTGGGAAGGCTTGCTCCTGTGCTTGTTTGTTTAACTGACCATGACGTCAAATGTAGATATCTTTTTATTTATCTTTTTGTCTGGTTTTTAATGTGTCTGTTTGTTTTTGCTAACCACAAGGGGCACATTGTATAGATAAAGCATTAAATAAAACACACAAAGTTTCATCAAGTGAGCATTCTAGTGGAGCGAGACAAAGCAGTGATAATCTTTATCATTCTGATCATACAGTCAACAAATAACAAACAAGATTGTTTCTGTTTACCTTTACCCTCCTGGGACTCCCACTAAATTCAGATTCGAGGTCTAGGGTGGAGGCTGAGAGTCCGCAATTCTTTTATTTATTTATTTATTTATTTATTTATTTATTTATTTGTTTGTTTGTTTGTTTTTGCTTAAAACAACAGAAATTTATTCTCTGACAGTTCTGGAAGCCAAAAGTCCAAAACCAAAGCATTGGCAGGGCTCTGAAGGCTCCAGGGGAGGACTCTTCCTGGCCTCTTCCTAGTTTCTTGTGGTTGCTGCAATCCTTAGTGTTCCCTGGCTTGTATATGCATCACTGCAATCTCTGCCTCCATGATTACATGTCATTTTCTCTGAATGTGTCTGTATCCAGATTTCTCTGTTCATATAGGACCCACTCTAATCCAGTATGACCTCATCTTAACTCGATTACATCTGCACAGACCCTATTTCCAAAAAGAATTGCATTCTGAGGTTCCGGGTGGACACAAATTTTAGGAGCACATTGTTTAAACCAGTAGACCCAATATGGTAAGGTATTAAGTCCTGGGAAAGATTAAGAGTGGACTTTCAGAGCTCACTCTGAACTTAGAATTCTGAACTAAGCAGAATCTGGGCAAAAAGGGAAGGGATGGAACAGGAATGAGTCAAAAAAGATTCCAGAAAATTGTGCATATTTAGCAGGTGACTACTTTGTTCCACTGAGGACAATATCACCTCTTCTGAGCAGACTCTCCTGAAAAACTCTGAAGTTAAAAATTGGAAGGAGAGGCCAAGGTGGGAGGATTGCTTGAGGTCAGAAGTTTGAGACCAGCCTGGGCAACATGGCAAGACCCCATCTCTAAAAAAAATTTTTTTAATTAGCCATGTGCAGTGGTGTGTGCCTGTAGTCCTAGCTACCAGCTACTCGGGAGGTTGAGGAGGGAGAATTGCTTGTGCCCAGGAGTTTGAGGTTGCAGTGAGCTATGATGATGCCACTACACTCCTCAGCCTGGGCAACAGAGCAAGACCCAGTCTCTAAATAAATATCCAGGCTTCTCCACATGTGAAGCTGTGGAAAAATCTCTCACACAAAATTTTACATGAAAACCAAAGAACAGAACAGAGCAAGTGATTCTTTACATGACAGGAACATAATAATATTCCTGTCATGTGAAGAAAAAAGGATGTTCATGTATTTGTATAAGCATTCAAATTGTGTGGAAAAATATACAATAAACAGTTGACAGCTTAGAAACTAGGATGGTAAGAGACTTACTGTTTGATCTTTTTCAATTCTGTGAATGTATTATTTTCATAATAAATAATGAAACCTGAAAAAATGACCTTAATGTGTACGATTATCAGAATCTACCTCCTATGAGACCCTACAAATTCATATTTTTATAATTATAACTGATTCTTATTCCATGACAGGCACTGCCTAAAGCACTTTATTAATACATATTAATTCACTTCATTCTCACAGTAACTCATTTTACAGATGAGGGCATTGAGGCACAGAGAGGTTAAGGCTCTTGCCCAAGGACACACAGCTAGTAAGTGGGGGAGCCAGAGATGAACTCAGGGTCCAAGGTCTTAACCAACTACTCCTTTTTTTTATAAATTCTGAAATGATGCAAATAGCACAACTATGCTGTCCTGAAAATGCTTGTGTTAAAATTAACTTGGTTGACGCCAACCCTAGTCCTTTATCATGAACAGGAATCCCACATTTTTTTGTAATTTGGTTCTGGTATCTCTAATTTTTTAACGTACTGAGATCTCACAAAGGGAAAATGTTCAGGCCTCTTTGACTTCAAGAGGCCCTGCCCAGAGGTGAGGCCCAACGATAACAGGAGCTTGTCACCCTGGTGACATCTGACTGCCTCTCTTTCCCCTGCAGCTACCTGTTCTCACTGCCCCCCAAATGCTTCCTGCGTCAATGGCACTTACTGTACCTGCAACCCTGGATACGTTTCTGGATCTGGGCAGAAATTCTTCACGTTCCCCTTGGAAACATGTGACGGTAAAGGGGTAATTTTTAAGTCACCCAGAGGCACAAGAGAAAGGGAGACAGAATGAAGGCTGTCTTAGTTCGTTTGGGGTCGCTGTAACAGAATATCTGAGGCTGAGTAATTTATAAAGAAGAGAGGTTTATTTGGTTTATGATGCTGGTGGTTGGAAGGTTCAAGACTGGGCAGCTGCACCTCAGGCTGCTTGAACTCATGGCGGAAAGCAGGGGAAAGCAGGCATCGGCAAAGAGATCGCATGGTGAGAGGGAAAGCAAGAGAGAGAAACCAAGCAAGCAGATTCTTTTTAACAACCTGTTCTCCCAGGAACTCGTCCATCCCACAAGAACAAGGACTCCCCCGTAGGAGAGCATTCATTGGAGGGATCCTCCCCCATGGCGCAAACATCTCCACTAGGCCCCACCTCCCAACACGGCCACATTCGCCACCAAATTTCAACATGAGCACAGTGGCTCACAGCTGTAATCACTCCAATTTCTGCCTCCTTTATCACATGGCGTTCTTCCTGTGTGTGTGTCTGTTTTCACATGGCATTTTTCTCTTCTTAGGACACCAGTAACATTGCATGAGTCCCCACCCTAATCACCTCATGTCAACTCTGTCACCTCTGTACAGACTCTGTTTACAAATAAGGTCACATTCACAAGTACCAACGGTTAGGACTTCAATGTATCTTTTTGGGGAACACAATTCAATCCACAACAGATGGCTTCCAAGGGAGCAAGGCTGAAGATGCCAGACCACTTAAAGTCCAGGTCTAGCACTGGCACAGAGTGACTTCTAAAGCACTTTATTGGCCAAAAAAGGGCACAGGCCAGCCCAGTTTCAAGGGAAGGGAAACTTAATCCCACATCTCAACGGAAGAGAATTTGTGGCCATCTTTAATCTAATCTACCACAGGGAGATAAAAGAATAACATTTTATGGTTTTAGCCATACAAATTAGCCATCATCTACCTCCCTGATATCTTGTATGTATCCCTTATAAGTCATTCATTTGCAAGAAATCAAATGTCTGAATAATCCTGTCCTTTTTATCATGAAGCACAATTTTGCCAGAAGACTATTCATTACTTTTCATTGGCTAGTGCTGTGTCACATGACCATCCTAGCCAAAAGGGAAGCTGGGAAAGAGAGTATCTGAGAAATGGGAACAAGGTCGTCATGACTGACTTCCCGAAGAAGCAAGAAAAGAGGGTAGAGTGACTACTGAATGGGCAGCAAACAGCATCTGCCACACTATGTCATGCTCTGAAAATCCCAAATTTTCAATTTTCTGTACTAGACAGAGGAACTACACATTGTTTATTACCCATTTGACATCATTATAAAGAAGCCACAGGAGTGGAGACATACTGAGTTAACAAAAACATTCTAACTAAATCTACATTAGCTAGTTTATCATATGTATCAGTCTTCTCAGGCTGCCATAACAAAATGCCACAGACTGAGTGGCTTAGACAACAGCAATTTATTTTCTCACGGTTCGGAGGTTAGAAATACGAGAACAAGGTTCTGGCAGATTCGGTTTCTGGTGTGGGCTTTCTTCCTAGCTTTCAGACAGCCGCCTTCTCACTTTGACCTCACATGGCCTTTCCTGGCTGAGTGTGTGCAGAGAAAGAGAGAGCGCTTGCGTCTCTTCTTAGAAAGACACTAACATTATCAAACTGGGGCCTCATTCTTATGACCTCATTCAACCTTAATTATTTCCTTAGAGGCCCGATCTTCAAATACAGCCACACCAGAGATTAGGGTTTCAACACACGAATTTGGAGGGCACATGAATATTCAGTGCATAACAGTCAACATGGTCAGTATCCCATTTATATACCTATATACCCTCATAATTTGCCATTCCTTGGCACCCCAAGTCCGAGGCCTTCTCTGGCTACTGGAAATCACTCAGCTCATGCTCGGGACAGGCAGAAAGTACTGGAGAGTCGGGGCTGAGAGAAATAGGGGTCGTACATACATTTTAAATGGATTCATTGTATGATATGTGAATCATATTTCAATAAAGCTGTTAAAAATAAAATAAAATACCAACAATTAACCTATTACATGTTTACCAAAAAAAAAAGTACAGGGACTAGCTCCCCACCAATAAGTGGTAGGCGTTGGTGGATAAATACCCCAGACCGCTCGCTCCTCGGGTGGGATCGTGCTGAAGTGCGTGCTCTACGTTGCCCCCAGCGGTCCGCAGAGGAACTGCACCCCAGTTGCACACAGTGGAAACCCCTCTTTATTTTCTGCCTTCTGTTCCCTGTTGCATTTCAGGGCTTTCTAGTACCACCTCCCACATAAAGTGCTTGCCCTTGAATCTTTGTCTCAGTGTCTGCTTCTTGGAGAACCCAACCAAAGTCAATGAGGAAAGGTAAAAAAACAAAGATGACCATTACCTAAATCGATTTGCCTTGGAAAGCAAGCACAGACCCCGGGGAAAAGAGCACGCCTTCTGAACACTTCGTATTCTCTGTTGAATGAAAGAGAAACTTCTCCTCTGTGTTCCAGATATCAATGCCTGTCGACCACCCTTTAGCGTATATTGTGGATTAAATGCTGAGTGTCGGTATGCCAAAGGAAGCTCCTACTGCCGCTGCGTTCCCGGATATGAACTCCTTGCTGGGGACACAGAATTCAAGAATTTCAATGAGAACACCTGTCGGAGTAAGAAAACTCTTGTTTCTCTTACCTCCCTTCCTCATCTGTTTATTGAGTCTGACACTAGAGAAGATGTTCTTCTGCGGGGCCAGGGTTTGTTTCTATTTTCTAGAGGGAAAAGGAAAGAAGGAAGTTCAAGTTCAGGGAAATAATGGGGTGAGGAAGGCATGTGTAGTTTGGAGATGGAGAAAGTGATAAGGTGGTCATTGAGACAGAATTCTTTGAATTTCAAGGAAGAGAAACTCACTCAGGCTAACTTAGGGAGAAAAGATGAGCGTATGATAAGGATGCCTGAATGTGCCTTGGAACTCAAGGACACTAATGCAGTGGGCTTCTGGAATTAACTACAGCTGGGAACTCAACACCATCAGGGTGCACGCCCCATTCCCTGTCTCTGATTCTCTTTGGAATCAGCCTGTCTTAAGAGTCCACATTCTTTATTCACTTGCTGTTCTGCAACATGGGTCTCAGGGAAGCCATAAAAGGGAGAGAAGACCAGGTACAGTGGCTCATGCCTATAATTCTAGCACTTTGGGAGGCCAAAGTAGGAGGATCACTTGAGGCTAGTAATTCAAGACCAGCCTGAGCAACAGCAAGATTCCATCTCTACAAAAAAAATTAAAAAATTAGCTGGGCATGGTGGCATGTGCCTGTAGTCCCAGCCACTCAGGAGGCTGAGGCAGGAGGATCACATGAGCCCAGGAGTTTGAGGTTGCTGTGAGCTAGGCTGACACCACAGCACTCTACCCAGCGGACAGAGGAAGACTCTGTCTAAAAAGAAAGTGGGGGGAGCTCTACACAGTCCTTTGACGCAGACTGAGCCCGTCTGGGGTTAGGTATTAACAAGGTTGGCAGGTCCAAGCAATCCTTCAATGACAAGAGTTTGAAGTTTTCACTCAAAAGGGTAGTTTTCTACAATGAAGATGCTTTCCTATAACAAACATATTCTAGACTCGGGGTTGTAAGTCAAAGTTCTTGAACTCTTAAGACAAAACCTTCAATGTTACGATAAAGCTCTTTGCCCTTTTTAACAAATAGACTCAACTGAAAAGCAAGATCTAGAATAAATATAGGTTTAACCTCAGCCTGATGGTAACAGATACGTAAACAATTGTTAGCCTTTCCTCGTCTTTCTAGAACAGAGATGGTTGTCTTCACAAAGCACAGGAAGCAATAAAAAGCTCTTTGTTAATAGCCAATAACCAAAAACTGATGCTTCTGTTTGGATTATAATTCCCAGACAGGCTGACTTCAAAAACATGAGGCTTTTATAATTTTCTGTTTCCTCGTCCATTTCTTTTTTTATTTTTTTTGAGACAGAGTCTCACTCTGTTGCCCGGGCTAGAGTGCCGTGGTGTCATCCTAGCTCACAGCAACCTCACACTCCTGGGCTCAAGCGATCCTCCTGCTCCAGCCTCCCGAGTAGCTGGGACTACAGGCATGCGCCACCATGCCCGGCTAATTTTTTCTATATATTTTTAGTTGGCCGATTAATTTCTTTCTAATTTTAGTAGAGACGGGGTCTCGCTCTTGCTCAGGCTGGTCTCGAACTCCTGAGCTCAAACAATCCGCCCACCTCGGCCTCCCAGAGAGCTAGGATTACAGGCGTGAGCCACCGCTCCCGGCCTCCTTGTCCATTTCTGTTATAATTTCCAGCCAAGACTGAACTAACGAATTTGGAGCTTCCATTTTTCTGCCTCCTGTGCGCCAGAGTTTCTCCACCACAGCAATACTGGAGTCTGATCATTGTTTGTGGCAGGGGCTGTCTTGCGCACCGCAGGGTGTTGAACAGCATCCGGGCTTCTACCCACTAGACGCAATAGTATCCCCCCCACGCCCCCACCCCGCCAAGTGGTCGCCACCAAAAATATCTCCAGACTTTGCCAAATGTTGCCTGGGGGGGCAAAATCACCCCCAGTTCAAAACCACTGCTCTACACCATGATAAGGGACTCATACTCTGATCCCTCCCCATGTGCAAATAACCTTGTCCGTGAACACAGGTGCAAAGTTGCCCACCTCACCTGCCGCCACCCCACATGGTCACTCTCGATTCTAACAGTAACTCCCTCACGATATCTTTTGCAGACGCCACCTCCTCAAAGACAAACAAAGGCAAGAAAGAGGTGAGTGGAGGCTGATCCCTGGAACCTAGCCAGGTAACACATATTTACAAAGCCCCAAATTAGCGAGTGGTGGTGGTTACGGCAGAGTGTATGTATTATATATAACTATATAATATTACTACTATGTAACATCATATTACTATATAACATTTATATATTTACATATTCTATATAACTGTCATATATATAAATATATATAGATACATATCACTAAATATATCATGAGGTATATCACTACATGTATGTCACCATATGTCTCAGTGTAGAGACGTCACTATAGACACAGTTGACTCTTGAACAACATGGGTTTGAACTGTAGGGGTCCACTTATACTCAGATGTTTTTCAACCAAACATGGTTCAAAAATACAGTATTCACAAGATGCTAAACGCGCATATAGGGAGGACTAACTTTTCCTATATGTGAGTTTCAGAGGGGCTAGTGTGGAACTTGAGTATGCTCAGATTTAGGTACACACAGGTGGTCCTAGAACCAATCCTCCGCATACCTGTATCTATTTATGAGATTAAGCTCAAAGTGAATCAATCTCTTACTAGTTAGTGGGCATCTATAACTTAGAGATACAGGTACAGATATAAATATGGATATACACATAGTGTGTATGCATAGGTGTGTGTGTGTGTATGTGTGTGTGTGTGTGTGTGTGTGTGTGTGTGTGTACTGCTCTCTAAAGACAAGGGTCTAACCCAGACCAAGACAGACAGGCTAAGAAAGTGTATTAGGGTATGTTGAGCTGCTGCAACAAAGAGACCCAAATATCCAATGGCTGTAATAGAGCTTAAAAATATGTATATTTTCATGAGGGTACAGAGATATTTCTATAAAAGTATTTATTGAAGCATTATCTGAAATAGTGAAAAAAAATTACATACAATATAATTGTCCCCCAGTATGGGGGATGTACAAAAAAATTTACTTTTGGAATACTATGCAGCTAGTAAAAGGAATGCAATAGGGCTTAATGTAGATGCTGTGATATTTTGTCAAGTGAAAAAAATTACTTGTGTAACAACAGATGTGGGTTGGGAGACTTCCATGTTTGGCTCTTCTATGAAATATCCAGAATGGGCAAATCCATAGATATAGAAAACAGATTTGTGTTTGCCAGGGGCTGGGGGAGAGGGAATGGGGAGTGATTGCTGATGGGTATAGGATTTTATTTGGGGGTGATGAAAAACATTTTGGAATGTTTCAGAAAGGTAGTGGCTGTACAACATTGTGAATGTATAAATGCCACGGAATTGTCCACTTCAAAATAATGAGTTTTATGTTATGTAAATTTCACCTCAATAAAAAAATTTTTCATTACCAAATAAATGCAAAGTTGTCATGCTGGATCAGAGTTACAATAGCAATTCCAAAGAGCAAATACTTCAGCATCTATTCTGTAAAAATGAGTTTAAGCCAAGAAGACTTCAGCCATGATTTAGAGGAGAGAGACACTAACTAGTAAGAGATTGATTCACTTTGAGCTTAATCTCATAAATAGATACAGGTATGCAGAGGATTGGTTCTAGGACCACCTGTGTGTACCTAAATCTGAGCATACTCAAGTTCCACACTAGCCCCTCTGAAACTCACATATAGGAAAAGTTAGTCCTCCCTATATGTGCATTTAGCATCTTGTGAATACTGTATCAGGCAAGGGACGGGGAGGCTACTCCTCAACTAGAAAACTCAGCTCAGAATTTCCGTGAACACTCATTGGGCTGAAAGAGCAGCACATTAAAAAGGTTTATTTGAAATCAAGCTCTGAATGTTTTTCCAACACTTTTTAAATATCACTCTGCTTATAACTCTTTGGTGTGATAGCACATTCCTCATAAGAGCACTCATTCATCCCATGAACATTTATTGAGCGCCTACTATTTGCCAAAGACTGTTCTAGGTGCTAGGAAATGGGGATAAATAAGACAAAATCCCTTTTCTCATGGAACTTACTGTCCAGTACTTTAATGTGCCCAGAAATCCCCTAGGGAGCTTATTAGAGTTGCTGTCCAAAAGAACACCAGGATGGCTAAATAATAGGAAGGAGAGCTTCATTGATGATAATAGTTTGCAAACGGGGAAGAGACGGTCTTCAACGTGGACCGAAGGTGCTCTCTCTTCAAGGAGGAAAGGTACAGATTGGGTCTTTGTGCCCCACGGAGTCTGTATTCCACAATAGAGTCATACGTAACAGCAGGTTTGGGGAGACTCTATACATATTTATGAGGGGAGTTGAGCGCATGCGTAGTGAGGAAACATATCTGTAACACACACCCCATGGTCACCTAGGGCTGGGGTTTTAGCATTAAAATGAGGTGGAATTTGGCTCTTGATGACAAAAAGGTGAACCATAGGACACAAATACAGTTTGTGCACAGCCTCTATAACCTATTGAAACTGGCTTAAGCTCTGCAGTTGCTTATGAGAAAAGAACCTTTGTAAGGCCAGTATTCTGTCCAGTCAGGACTGTAGTGATCTGGGCTGTAAGTCAGAGTTGGTAGCTCCTTTTGTTAGGGAGTTTAGCAAAGGTGTGGTTTTTCTTGTAGCATAAGAATTCAGAAATTGGCCGTGCCGGCTGGGCCCCGAACCCTAGACCTTTAGGTAACCTTTGTTTCCCTTAACCTCAGGGTCTGTTTTAGCTGATACGGGGTCACCTATTTTGGTCTCTCAGATCACATTGTGTAGATTCGGATTCAGCACACCTGAGCTGGGGCCCAGATTCCGCATTTCTAACAGGCCCCCAAGTGATGCCAATGCTGCTGGTTCAAGGACCACACTTCGATTACAAGGATGAGGTGGGATTGGCATGAAAATAGTCCTTTAAATCACCTCTGTTACAACTTTTAAAACTTCACTTTGGCCCTTCATTCTTCCCCATCCACCGACCCAACTCTCTGCTAGCCTTCATAGAGAAATTTCTCAATTTAAAAAGGCCAATAAGAGTGCATTCTGGGCTATAACTCTATTGTAGGGTTTCTGAACTTTGGCACTATTGACATTTGAGATTGGGTCATTCTTTGTGACACGGGTGTCCCGTGCATTGCAGGATGTTGAACAACATCCCTGGCCTCCACCCACTAGATGCCAGTAGCAGCCACTTCCTTGTCATGACAACCAAAAATGTCTCCAGCCATTGCCAAATATCTCCAGTGGTGGGGAGGAGGTAGAATCACCCCCAGGTGAGAACCGCTGGTCTATTTATAACAAACTTACCACTACTCTGTTGGAAACAGATGTTAATATTAACAAATCCTTACACGATGTTTACCAGATACAGATAACTGTTCTAAAAACATAGCATCTCTTAACTCATTTAATCTTCCAGAAAACTCTATGAGATCTTTTCCTGTCCTGAGGCACAGAGTGGCTGAGTGATTTTCCAAGGCCACACAGCCAGTAAACAGTGGAGTCAGAACTTGAACCTGGTTCCTCTGGCTCCAGAGCCTGCTTTCTCGTGCTTTCTGCCATTCTTTTAGATATGGGACCTATCAGATTACATTTTTTTTTAATTTTTATGTCTTTAAAGCTGCAACGGATTGTCAACCAATTTGAGTCATTGATCACCAATAATACTCTATGGCAAATGGAAAAGAAGCAAGAAGTCGCATCCACGGCTACATCTATCCTCCGGGATGTGGAATTAGATGTTCTAAAAACTGCTTTGAAAGCCCCAGAGCAAAAAGTCCAGAAAGTCCAAAACAGTACTGTGGGTAAGAAGATGGTATCACCTGATACACACTGGAGACTAGTTACCCGCTGGGGTCTGGGTTGAGCAATTAGAAAAAAAAAAATGCTCTGCATGAATCCATTTATTTAAAATTCCAGAAAATGCAAACGTATCTATGGTGACAAGGAAGGGAAGGAGGGAGAGCCGACAGTCTCTCATGAGAAACTTGGGGGGAAATTACTGGGGAAATGTCCCCTGCCTTGACTGTGGCGTTGGTTTCACTGGTGTACACACCCAATAAAACTCATCACATCGTACACTTTGGTGTGTACGCCTCAGTAAAGCTGTTTACTAAAAAGATTGCCAGTGGTTTCTAATCCCAGGTCTGGAATTTTAACTTAAAAGTAGTGTGTTTGTTTGTTTGTTTGTTTGTTTTTTGAAAATTCAATGCTTAACCTTCTTGGGAAACTGGAATCCAAACAGTTTAGTTCAAAATTAAACCATTTTTCAGATTAAGCATCACTCTCATCTCTGCTGATTTTACCAAATCCTAATTTTTTGATCTGGGACCAGTGCTTGCACCTCACTGGGCTTCAGTTTCCTCATCTGTAAAATGGGAATGATAATAGTGTGTGTAATGCACTTAGAACTAGGGTGGTGATTGCTATATTTACGACTATTCTATCTCTCTTCTCTGTAGTATTATAAAATATTATTAAAATAGCATCATTCTTGATGTGCTATTTTGTTATTTGCTGTTTCTTAACCCTTCTAACATACACCAAAAGAGACATTAAGAACCCTGCTACACCCATCAACCAACTGGACAATTTCCAACTCGTGCCCAGTCTTGTGCCATCTGCTTTTTAAGCGAAATATTTTCATGAGCTTCATTCTTCTTGTTTTCCAGCTTTATTGAGAGGAAGCTGGCAAATAAAACTGTATCTATTGAACAACGTGATGACTTAATACACATATGCTGCGGAGTGATTACCACAGTCAAGTTAGCACATCCATTGCCTCACGTGGTTACCTTTTATCCCACGAGCTTGTTTCTTGATCACAATCCTTTCATGACTTCGTTTCTATTTTTTTATTTTTTTTGAGACAGAGTCTCACTCTGTTGCCCGGGCTAGAGTGCCGTGGTGTCATCCTAGCTCACAGCAACCTCACACTCCTGGGCTCAAGCGATCCTCCTGCCTCAGCCTCCTCAGTAGCTGGGACTACAAGCATGCGCCACCATGCCCGGCTAATTTTTTCTATATATTTTTAGTTGTCCAGCTAATTTCTTTCTATTTTTTCAGTAGAGACAGGGGTCTCGCTCTTGCTCAGGCTGGTCTCGAACTCCTGAGCTCAAATGATCCACTCGCCTCGGCCTCCCAGAGTGCCAGGATTACAGGCGTGAGCCACCGCGCCCGGCCATGACTTCATTTTTATTAGAGGCGTGGTTCCTATTATAGGATGATATCATCACTTATTTAATCAGTTGTTTCTTGTCAAAAGTCTCCCATCCAAATACTAACCAGGCCCAACACTGCTTAGCTTCCAAGATCAGACGAGATCGGGCACATTCAGGGTAGTATGGCCGTAGACAATGAACTGTTTCTTGTTGAAAGTCTAGGTAATATCCCATTTTTCACCATTGTTATCCATGCTACTAGGAACTTTCTTGCAGCCAAATCTGCCCTGTTGTCCATGATTGTTTTCTGAGAATAAATGCACAGAAATAGAATTATTGCTTCAAAGGCAATGTGCTAGAATGTGATTGCAGGAATTACGGTCTCACCTACCTTCTGAACTTCAGTTTCCTCATCTGTATAATGATCCTTCACAAGGTTACAGGAGATGGTTGTAAGATGACGTGAGGCCAGGCGCGGTGGCTCACACCTGGAATCCCAGCACCCTGGGAGGCCAAGGCAGGAGGATCTCTTGAGACCAGGAGTTCAAGTCCAGCCTGGGTGACATAGCAACACCCTATCTGTGCAAAAAATAAAGAATAAAAATAAATGACATGTATAAATCTCTTAGCCTAGTGTCTGGCACATCCTAGACATTCACTAATGTGAGATGTTCATGTTGCTATGCACATATTTTGGGGAGACGAGGTCTCACTATGTTGCCCAGGCTGGACTGGAACTCCTGGGCTCAAGTGATCCTCCTGCCTTGGCCTCCTGAGTAGCTAGGACTACAGGCACATGCCACCACAACTGGCTACTATGCACATTTTTAAAACATCACTAAGCCTGCCCATTGCTTTTCTTACCAGCCGTTGAAACTCGAGTGGTTACAGACAATTGCTCTGAAGAAAAGAAGACATTCAGCTTGAAGTCCCAAATGAACTCATTGGACATCCATTGCAAAGACATTGTCCAGGGAAACATACAAGGTACATGTGATAGCCGCCTTCAGCATCCTTCACACAGAGCAATATCATTGTGTGAGTCGTGGGGACACATGCCCAGTAGGCTCCTCCCCTAATGTGTTTGTTACCCTCAGACTGTGTCATGTGGGTTTTGTCCTTTAAAAAACAAAAGACATCCTCCCAAAATAGAGGATTTCTGTTCTTCGGCATAGAAGAGACTTCTCTGCAGTTTGGGGGTGTCTCAGTTTGGGTTCACCCAGAAGCAGACTCTGGGACAAGTGTCAGGAATTTATTTGGGAGGTTATCCTAGGAAACGTCAGTGGGAATATTCATCAGGGTTCTCTAGCAGTGGTCCCCAACTTTTTTGGCACCAGGGACCATTTTCATGGAAGACAATTTTTTCACAGACCAGGGAGGGGAGGGATGGTTTCAGGATGATTCAAGCACATTACATTTGTTGTGTACTTTGTTTCTATTGTTATTACATTGTAATATATAATGAAATAATTAAACAACTCACCATAGACTGGGGACCCCTGCTCTAGAGAAACGAAACCAATAGGGTGCAGGGGGAGGGAGAGAGACAGAGAGAGATACTTTAAGGAATTGGCTTATGTGATGATGGAGACTGGCAAGTCCAAAATCTGCAGGGTAGACAGGCAGGCTAGACACCCAGGAAGGAGAGTTGATGGTGAAGCTTGAATCCAAAGATAGTCCGGAGTCAGAATTCCCTCTTCCTCAAGACACCTCAATCTGTTTTCTCTTAAGACCTTCAATAGATTGAATGAGACTTGCCCACCTTATAGAAGGCAACTTGCATTACTCAGAATCTACTGATTTGAATGTTAATCTCATCTAAAAAATACCTTCACAGCAACATCCAGACTGGTGTTTGACCACATATCTGGCTACCATGGCCTAGCCAAGTCGACACATTAAAATGAACCATCACCGGCCAGGCGCGGTGGCTCACACCTGAAATCCTAGCACCCTGGGAGGCTGAGGCAGGAGGATCACTTGAGGTCAGGAGTTTGAGACCAGCCTAAGCAAGAGCAAGACCCCTGTCTCTACCAAAAATAGAAAAAATTATCATGGTGGTGCACACCTGTATTCCCAGATACTCAGGAGGCTAAGGCAGGAGGATAGCTTGAGCCCAGGAGTTGGAGGGTTGCTGTGAGCTATGACGATGCCACTGCACTCTAGGCAGGGGGACAGAGGGAGACCCTGTCTCCTGAAAAAAGAAAAAAAGAATGCCAGGAACCAACCATGCAGCTATAATATCTGAGGAAAGAGTACATGTTTAAGGTAACAAGAACAGCCAGTGCAAAGGCCCTGAGGCAGGAACATGCCTGGCATATTCAAGGAACAGTAAAAAAGCCAATGGGGCTAAAATAAAGAGAAAAAGGA